GCTTCCGTAAGTGAGCGTTGTAAACTCGAAATGTCATGTTGAGACGTCGTAACTCGAGGACCAGCTGTAAACTTGAAAGGGTAAACATGTATTTCGTTATGTTTGTCGTTCAAAATACTGTACTTTTCAAAGCATTAAAACATACCAGAGAATGCACAAAAATGGATGATTTTCATATTTATATGTAAGTGTATAGTGTTGTGTATTTGTGATTAAATGCTAATGTTTGACAGCCAAAGTTTGTCTTCCTTCTTTATTGAAATGCACATCTTGACAATGTTTATGATCATGCTTAAAGAACACAATTTTACTTTTAAATTTTAGCAGGACTCAGGAGTGATGATGATCTTAAATAAGCTAAAGGAAAACCACGGTCTTGAAAATGGTCTTGATGTTTTCTGGTTTTGGTCTCGACTCGGCCTTGCCTCCCTCAAAGTTGTGGTCTTAGCTCGGTCTAGACCTCCGTAAAGTCTTGACTCAGACTCCACTGTCAAGGTCTTGAATCAGACTCAGTATAGGTGGTCTTGTCCCTATCACTAATGCATCACTCACAACCAGCATATTCCTAGCCACATTTAAGGAGCCTTGTATAGCACCACTGCTTTAAAAAAAATCCACAATTGCAGCTCATCAAAGACTGAAAATGACCATCCAGTCTCTCCTCTCTTTCTTGTCTAAAATTCTTCAACATTCCATCCTCAGTCAAGTTTCTGAATTGCAGGGGGCTGGTTTGACTTGTAGTTATCAAAAAGATCATTCCAAGTGTCTTGGGGTACAGAGGTGGCCAAGTCACATCAGGAAACAACTGATGCCCCCCAAGGCTCTATCCTTGGTCCGTTCCTCTTTTCTCTTTACCTTATCTCTCTAGGTCTTTATTGTCCAGTCACATGGCTTCTCCTGTCACTACTACTCTGAAGACCTCCAGATATACCTTCCCTTCTGAAGACACCACAGTCTCTGCTCAGATCTCTGCATGTCTTGCTGACATCACAGCCCAGATGAACCATCATCACCTCTAGCTAAATCTCTTAAAGATCAAACTTCTTGTCTTCCATACTCGACCTATCATCCACCATGACATCACTGTTCAGCTTGGATCATCCATACTGTCCACACCAAGGCCGACCAGAAATCTAGGGGCAATGATGAATGTCCAGCTGTCCTCTGCTGAGCATGTAGCAGCACTCTCCCATCCTGCAGATTCACCCTGTATAACATTGGGAAGTATACAACATAGTCAAAAGTATGTGGTCAGCCTTACTAATTAGAGTAGCTGGCTAATTAAACCACACCTATTCCTGGCATAGGTGTATCATTAAATACACATTCATGCAATAGCCAGAGGCGCAAAACAGTAGTAGAATATGTGGCTGCACGATAGAGGTGAGTGACTTTCCACTTGGCACCATCATAGGGCACCATCCTTCCAACAAGTCAGTTTGCCAAGTTTCTGTCCTGCTAGAGCTGCACTGATCAATGGCAAGTGATGTGGAGACATCTGAGAGGAAATCTATCTATATACTCTCCCTTGGTCGGGTCATCAGTCGCCATGGAATTTCTTTCCACTGCTATGCAGGCGACACACAATTATATGTGAAAGCTACTAGCTGTGGC